GCCAATTCCTTATCCAGCGAGTGGTCCTTGTGTCAAATCCATGTCAGTATATTATCAACTTTCTTCTCATACCGAATCCCATACTAAATCTAAAACACGCACTTTTCTAGCTACTAAGAAGAAAATTAACTCTATCCCAGCTGAAACCAGGAGAAATCAGTACTACCATTTGCTATCCAGATACAGCAGTGATGGTGGTTATGTAGGTGTTGCCACAAATAGACAGTGAATTTTTCAGATGACACTGGACCATTGGACATTTTTTATTCTCTAAGCACTTTATACTGTTTCAGCCTAAAGGAACTTCTTTCAGAACCTCTAAGGCTTCCAAGTAGGTACAAAAGACACTTGTGCATCAACGTATTTTTTTGTGGAAAATGTGGTACTCTATTTTTTTCAACTAATGTAATCATACCAACAGTTAGGAAAAATGTGGTACCCTTTTTTAGCCTGCCAGGCAATCTTTTGTTCTTTGGATAAAATGTGCTTTCTGTAACTTTGCTGCCTGCATGTACCCTGTATGAGTAGAAACAGAAATCCAGCTTGAAGGAATTCAGTTGAAAGAAATCTGTCTTTTTAGGAGGACTGTCTGCAATACTTTTTCCATCCTGAAGAGCTGACTGATCACAACATGTGTTTCTGTGAGCAGTGTGGAAGGAGAACACCTTTTTTGCAGGTAATCAGAGAATTATTTCCCCATATGTGTCTTATACCCAGAACTCCCTTTAGAACTGGGGAGGTGGGGAAAGGACTCAAGCACATCAGTTTAAGAGGAGATCAACAACTCAAAGACTGTCAGCGCAGCAGTGTCAGCTAGGTATAAACCACATGCATCTTTTCTGGTTAGGAAGTTCCCTACTGTAGATGTAGCTCTAGGAACAAAATAATGCTTTCTTGGGTTTTAATATAAGTCACCGAGGGATGTAGCATTTCTGTACCAGCAGAAAAGCTTCTGCTGGTTTATGTTCTGTTCCCACTGTGGGGCTTTACACTGCTGCATAGCTCCAAGGGTAGACTAGAATATGTTGCTGGAGCTGTGCATATGCATAAAAGTTGTCTACTGTGGTGTGATTTCCTTTCTTCCTGGCTCTCCACTGGGCTCCCCATTTTTTACAGTATTGGTCTCTGACAACCAATGAATTATCTGTTCCATAAAGAGGCAAGTGCATTGAAGAGTGAGGTGTGTGAGGGACACTGCCTGAGCTCAAGGCTTTCCACGTCATTTTCACCACTGGGCCACCTCCAAGGCCACAATGCATTCATATATCTTGGTGGCAGCCATGGCAGCAGCAGTAATATCAACAAAGGCAGTGCTGGAAGGAATGAGCTGTCAGCTTGGTGTCCTTCATGGAGCTCTAGTGGCCACATGTCACAAGGAAGTTGCCTTGCCTCTTCTCACCAACCTAGTGCTATCAACTTAGGGTTAAGAAAGCAGATGAGAACTGAAACAGCCCATGAGACACCCGCAGCTGGGTGCTGATCGTGCTGAAGTTGAGAAACTTGGTTATCACAGCTCTGTTATATGTATGTGTCTTGTGTGCAGATGAGCTACAAAGGTTTGGCATCTGCTGTCTGGTGGAACTGGAGATCATTCATTGACTCACTGACTTCTCTCCATGCTGCATTCACTGGGTGACAATGGCTGTTTCCACCCCACCTCCCTAGGGTTTGTTCCTCATTTTTCAATTGCATTATTTATTGCTTTGCAGAGCATGAAGCTAGTCCGTCTGCCACAGACTCTGACCATACACCTAAAGCGCTTCTGCTTTGAAAAACTGGCCTATATTCACAAGCTTAGTCACTGTCTGCCATTCCCACAAGACCTTGATTTCAATGCAGTCTTGACAGAAAATCAGTGCCAAGCAGATGACAATGAAAAGGTGAGATACTCCTAATGCCCTATTTAAAAAGGGCAGATTTTCTTCTCCCCTCTGCTCTAGTCTCATAAAAACTTAAGAGATCACACCAGTACTTGCTCAGTCAAAGCATCTGTCTTAAAAATGTATGTCTCGCATTCTGTTGTTTTAACTGGTTCAGGCATTATTTGACTTTCTGTGCTCAGATTAAATCACCAAAGGCACCATAAGTGGAGCTTTCTGCCGTAAGGACAAAAACCAGGCTTTATTCAAACAAATGAATGAACAAACAAACCAACCTCTGTTTTTCTGAGAGCGTTTAGCATAACTTTTTCTAAATACACTAAAGAAAAGATGAAAACACAGTTCATTTGGATGACCAAACCCAGACATTGTAAACAGTGTCTTAGAGGCAACTTCTGTCCTGTGGTTCAGCCTCCAGGGCAAGATGGCCTCAGTGAGCAGCAGACCTACTGCTTTGCAGAGGTCACCAGTCCAAGACAGGGGAACTCCATTCCTGGCAGTTTCCCATGCAGTGTTGTTTGCCGCAAAGTTGAGGTTAGCAGGGAGATGACAGCTTTGGCAAGCAGCTGAGAGTGATCTGCCGCCCTGGATCTTTTCCCCTGACTGAGAAATAACAAGGGAAGGTGTGGCAACAGCAAAACCTTACTGGTGCAGTGTTGGCTGCAGTGTAACACCTTTGCTGCCCTTTGCTATCCTACTGCCTTTTTCACATTCCTGTTGTCTCCAGGGAGGCTGCCAGCCCATAGCTGGCAGGCAAAACTTTGAGGGTAAGAATTAAAAAGGCAGCATCCTCAAGGCCAGTCTAATCTTTGTCATTTTTCCTTACAAAATGCACATCCTTGCTGTCCTGGCTGCTGCTTCTCTTCAGCCAATGGCAAATGAGAATTGCTGCACTGAAAGTTACTCTTTGTGGCTCTTCACAGGCTGGCTGGAAGTATGAGCTTTTTGCCGTTGTTGCTCATTCAGGATCAACTACTTGCGGACACTACTGTGCCTATATTCGAAGTCTCACAGAATGTAAATGGTATTGCTTCAACGATTCTCACGTTTGCCAGGTGAGGACCCAAACCCACATTTCTTTTGTAGCTTGCTGGACACTCCTCCAGATCTCATTCAGTCTGACTGACTGCTGATTAAAGAGAACCAGGAAACAAAACTAAAGCTGCGTACTCTGAGCTGAGGGCAAAGAGTCTCTAGCTTCTGTACCAAACAGGGCCTTAGGTTCTGGTTTGCATTTTGCAGAAGCAGCCATTTGCTGTATACCCTACTTTATGTACTCTAGATCTGTTTAATGTATGTGTTCAGAATAGGCAAAGGAACTGTTTTTCCTTGAAGGGTAGAAGCAATAAACCGATCTATTAAAAGGTGTTTAGTTCCTGGAAGTACCACTTACACCACTCTAACAAGGATTGCTGTGCTGGTATCACAATGCACCCATCTCTTAAGAATTTTTACCAGCCTCCACTTGTGTGGTTTTCATCTCTAGGTATCATGGGATGATGTTAAATGCACCTATGGACACTCCAACCTCTACTGGTAAGCAAGCACATCTCTGTTTTTACCTAATGCTGCTCTGGAGTTTGGAATTAGGATAGCAATGAGACGGAAGACAAATAGTTTGAAATGAATATTGCCTGGGATGTACAGGGCATGCGGGAGGGCAGAAGAGGCATCCTTGTATTCTGGTTACTCTGATGTGACTGTATATGACTACATACACAGTATACCGGGAGCGTGCAGGATTAACGAGTAGTTGCAAATGGAGCTGCAGGAGTAGTCTTGTTACTTATGATTGCCACGTGGACCCCATATCCTTCCTGAAGTTAGATACATCAGTCAGGATTCCTCCATGCTCTTTGTTTTGATGCATCATAAGAAAAGAAGCCATGGAGAGAGATAATCCCTCCTATAAGCTATAGTGCTGCCGGGGTTACCTTTATATGCTGCCCCAGGAACCCTGGAGAGGGCCAGTTCAATTGACCTACACCTCAAAAAGGTGAGCAGGAGCAAACCTGGGAGGTTACATGCAACCTAGATCTTCAAACATACATCGTGTTTTGCTTTTTCTTTGCTTCCACAGGGGACAAACGGCTTATCTGTTGATTTACATGAAAAAACATCCTCAGTAGCCTTATCCAGGAGTATCAGAATGTCTCGGAAAGCTGTGCATTGTCCCTGAAGCTCAGCACCTCTGTGCCAGTGTGGACATCACAAGAAAGACATTCTGGACTCAGTCAGTGACCTCTGCCTTCACACTTATTTATGAAAAACATGCAGGAGAGACTCGGCTAGAGAAAGGATCTAAGAACTGTTGCACCTAGAAATGGCTTATTCCATATGTTTTTGATATTTATGTGATTCTGTATATTAATTTCCTCTTAAAAGATAGTAAAGTTAGTCGTTGTCTCTGCTGACTTGCCATTGATGCCTAGGTTCCAATACAGGGGAAGAGTTTGGCCTGAAGCCTGCATGATGTTCCAGGGAGGCATGTGGTGTGGCTGGAGAGTTGTGATAGTCATGCCTAGGCAGGAAGACCGTAAGAGCTTGAGACTTTCTCTGCCCTTTAGCACCATGTTAGATGCTGGCAAGCTGGGCAGGGGACCCCAAAAGTCTTGAGAAACTGCTGGAACAAGGACCAGAATTCTTATGACACATGCACCAGTGGTGTTTAGTTCTTAATACCTTCCTGAAAATTAATCACTGCAGGGGTTGAGATATGTTTGAAAGTTGGTGTTAGCATAAAGAGGTGCTTTCAAATCAGGAGCTCTCATAGTAGTTCCAATTTACAAGATGAGTTTGTATATATATATGCAGATTCAGATGATTATTGTTTTAGCATGCTTAGAAGGCATTTATATGCATTTTCTTTCACATATAGAGGAAAATATTCAGAGTAAAAGAGATTCTGAAGTTAGCTAGTGATTTTGCACAATACAGCCTATACACTATGATAAGAGGAGGAGTGAGATGCCTTGATGTGCTTAAACTTTTGGGATTTTCCTTTAGTACTCTTCAGCTGGTTGGCAGCTGGAATTGTCTTGCTTTCTCCATTCCTTCTCTGCCCATGAAGTGGAAATGTCCCTCAAGCAGAAAGTGTTCTGGAGAGAAAGTGAGTAATTTTTAAATCTCCTGCTGAGTCCTGCCACTCTGTGCTGTTGTTTCAGCCTGTGCTCTCATGGCAAGACCACACAGCTGGAGGAAAAATGTAGAGAGAGCTAGAAAGGAAGGTTGGTAATGTGACAATCAGAAGAAGAGTGTTCTGAAAGCTCATCACAAGACTTGGCTGCGAGGAAAGTTAAAAACTTTGGTCATGATGCTTTTAAAGCACTCATTGTGGTAAGTCTTGATGTACCACTGTCGGTGAAAGGAGCAGTGATGCCAGTAGTTTGAGATTGTCCTGTTTTTGGCTGGGATAGAGTTAATTATCTGCTTAGTAGCTAGAATAGTGCTGGTTTTTGGGTTCAGTATGGGATTTGATACAAGAATGTTGACAATATACTGGTATTTTTAGTGGTTGCTAAAAAATCAAGGAAATTCCAACTTCTCATGTTTTGCTAGTATGCAAGTGCACAAGAAGCTGGGAGGGAGCATAGCAAGAGCAACAGATCCAAGTTGGCCACTGAGATATTCCATATCATACAATGTCATGCTCAGTTAGATGAGCATTGGCCGGGAAGCTCTCTCTCTCTCTTCCAGGACTGCAGTTTCAGGATTGTCTCTCCTCTGGGATTGCTAGCTGGGAATGAGCTGGGCCTCGGTCAGTGTGTGGTGAGCAGTTGCACTGTGTATCAC